GTATAGTGTGTGAGCTCAGGTGCACGCGATGCGCCCTTTCTCGTTTCCTTACGAAGTTAGTTATTTCTTTCTCTGTCCTGTCTTCCGAGTGACGGGAGGTGGCTACCAGTATGACTGTACAGTTGCTGGATCTGCATGTGATACTAGGACACTGGACGGTATTCTACGTGACAGGGTATGCACTGGTCGCTTGTCACCGACGCTCCTGACACCATGTCCAGGCTCAGTATCAACAAAATTCATTATCTATTGCCTTAGCCCTACTATGTTCTATGACATGCGGCAGTGGAGACGTCTGCAGTTTGTCCTGCTCTCCGTTCTCCACATACCGGTAGGCTGTTTGCAAGCCTAAACGGCGTGAGCAACGATACAAATGGCAGCGGTAGCCGCTATGTCCAGCGTAACGGTAGCAAGTAACCACCCCGGCGGGAACAGGGCTGCTGCCAAGTGAACTACTTTCTAAGACTTTGCTGACTAGCTTCTCATGCAGCAAGCGCTCGTACATGTATGACAGTATGTGCAGGGAACTAACTACTGACTGTAGAACGGGAAAGTCTATCTAACGACCAAAATGTGTAACGTTTTTTGTAATTTTGGCATGATTACGTGCAGAAAGTTTAACGATGGCTACCTGGCCACCCATCTGTATGCGCATCTTTACACTGACATCTAGCCATGACGTATTTTTCAAATAACGTAAAAGAATTGGTCGTTAAAACGTTGGACTTTGTGAGTCGTTAGACTTTCCGGTTTTACAGAATTACTTACTTGAACAGGCCAAGTGATGCATACCTTAGCCCAGGTCCAAGGTCAGCATTTGAAAATACATGTATGAGCATTCACGCACTGTATACAAAGGTCATGACATTGCATGCATAGTGTTGGTGGGTACGTTGTGTGTGTGTGTGTGTGTGTGCACGTGCGCATGTGTGTGTGTGTGTGTGTGTGTGGGGGGGGGGGGGGGGGGGGTGGTGCGTTTGTGTGTGTATGCATGTGTGTGCGTTTGGGCAGGCGTAAATGCAGATGAATATCGGGACGGATACCTTGATGCCATCAATCCTTTTCTGCACCTTGTCCTGACCCACTTACTGAGGTGCAGCGAGCCCATATGTGGGAGCATTTCAAAGTCCACCCAGAGTTTGGAGATTTCAGGGGATGTCGGCTGTTGGGCGGTTCAATAGCCAATTGAGTCATCTTTCCAGGACTCCTTTTGAATCTCTCTCCCCTCTCCCGGGGAGACCCACGCATCCAATTTCGGTAGTGCGCAAGTGCAAGTGTGGGTATGTGTGTGTGTGTGTATGTATATGACATTGTATACCAACCAATATACAATTTTCCCCAACCTTGTCAGGGGCTTCGCACGCGGTACGGTCACTACGGTATTGACCGTACCACTATTTGCCCCAAGTACCCTGTGAATCAATAAAATGCACTGATTTGGGCTCTAAATTTCCAAAATTTTCGGCTCAGCCATCCCTCCCCACGAGTAAATTCTACTTCAGACGGCTGACCGTACCACACTAAAATACCTTCCGACGCCCCTGCTTATTTTTAGGAGCTGCTACATACTACTCTGACAGACACCTTCTCTATGTATACTGTTTTGGACATTGAAATCTGTTGAGAAATCAAGTGACCACGGGGCGCTAGCCTTGCAGCCGTGGGCACTGCTGGTCCAGTTATGCAGCCGTGGGCACTGCTGGTCCAGCTATGCACTGTGTATGTGAACTACAGTACGTGTACGTGCTAAGTCAGTAAGGGAGGCTGCCCGCCCCGGTCATTCCGCGGGATTTCTTTGTCCACAACTGTAGAATCCGATGTGCGTGCATCTGTTTGTATGTGTGTGCCCATGTGGGTGTGTCTATGTGGGTGTGTGCGTGTATGTGTGTGTGTATGTGTGTATGTGTGGTGTATGTGTGTGTGTGTGCATGTGTGTGTGTGTGTACGTGCTCACTTGTTTTTTGCTGATATGGAAAGCCGTCGTCAGTCGTCAGCAAATTGTCCACAAGGCGGTCGTCAGTAAACCAGGGAGACGGCAGAGCAAGCATCCATTCTGTGTGGTAAGTTGCATACTGGTATCTTGCCTTGTACAGGAGTATTGCTCATAAGAGTATTGGTGAGGGTGTCGAAATCCGTTGAGAAGCCAAGCGGCCACAGGGTGCTGGCCGTGCAGCCGTGAGCACTGCCGGTCCAGTTTTACAGTGCGTGCGTGAACGCGCTAAGGCAGTAAGGGTGCCCTGGGCCGGTCAGTCCACTGGATTTCTATGTCCACAGCTGTACGAGCACTGCTATACTCTTCAGTGTACCAGTATTCACCTTCACTGAATAAAGTAGCGCCGGGTGCGAAATGGCCCTATTGTTATGAACACTGAGCTGTCCACTGGAACACGGTGTTACTGTGTTTTGCGGGGCAAATTTCACTGGCAAGACATTCACATTGGAAATGCTCTGCAAACGCGGAGGTGCTCCAGTTTCACCACCACAGTCGCGTCTGCAGCCACCTCTATCATGCAGTATTCTGTTCTCGAGGTTCGTGGTTTCTCGTAAAAAAACCCTCAGAATTTGGATGAAGCAACAGCCCCACCATTGCTACTCGTGCTTGGTGTGGTCATGACTTGTAATTGCATTGGCAGCCATTGTAAATTACTCCCCCCCCCCCCTCCCCTCCCTACCAACACCATTCCCATGATCTGTGTTTGACTTTCTGCATGCATAGAAGTTGGTAACGTTTGAGTGGAACTGGTGTGAAATCTTCCTAGCCTAGGCACACGATCTGACGTTGACTTACTTTTTGCAGGATCACATAAGACACCAGTTGTGCTTTGACTGTCATTGCTCAGTAAACCGCCTAATGTGATACTGTCATTGCTCAGTAAACCGCCTACTGTGATACTGTCATTGCTCAGTAAACCGCCTACTGTGATACTGTCATTGCTCAGTAAACCGCCTAATGTGATACTGTCATTGCTCAGTAAACCGCCTACTGTGATACTGTCATTGCTCAGTAAACCGCCTACTGTGATACTGTCATTGCTCAGTAAACCGCCTAATGTGATACTGTCATTGCTCAGTAAACCGCCTACTGTGATACTGTCATTGCTCAGTAAACCGCCTACTGTGATACTGTCATTGCTCAGTAAACCGCCTAATGTGATACTGTCATTGCTCAGTAAACCGCCTACTGTGATACTGTCATTGCTCAGTAAACCGCCTAATGACGTAATGTGATACAGCTAGAGTAACTACTAATTACCCCCCCCCCCCCCTGCACACACACAATACGAATGTGTTGTGTGAAATAGACTTGCAAGGGAAATGATCTCGGTACCCTGGCGGCCATTGCTTACGAAATCTTCGAACACCAAAGAATAAAAGGACTCTTTGCTTTCTTTTCAGTGTATTGTACACATTTGGTGTGAGCTTGACTTGCAGACGAATGCTTTGTGTGAAATAGACTTGCAAGGGAAATGATCTCGGCCATTGCTTACGAAATAGACTTGCAAGGGAAATGATCTCGGTACCCTGGCGGCTATTGCTTACGAAATCTTCGAACACCAAAGAATAAAAGGACTCTTTGCTTTCTTTTCAGTGTATTGTACACATTTGGTGTGAGCTTGACTTGCAGACGAATGTGTTGTGTGAAATAGACTTGCAAGGGAAATGATCTCGGTACCCTGGCGGCCATTGCTTACGAAATAGACTTAGAAGGGAAATGATCTCGGTACCCTGGCGGCCATTGCTTACGAAATCTCCGAACACCAAAGAATAAAAGGACTCTTTGCTTTCTTTTCAGTGTATTGTAGACATTTGGTGTGAGCTTGACTTGCATACGAATGCGTTGTGTGAAATAGACTTGCAAAGGAAATTATCTCGGTACCCTGGCGGCCATTGCTTACGAAATCTCCGAACACCAAAGAATAAAAGGACTCTTTGCTTTCTTTTCAGTATATTGTAGCATACATACTTCATGCTCTTCGTGTCTTGACTGGTCAGTGTGTGTGTGTGTGTGTGTGTGTGTTTGTCCAGGAAGAAGGGAAGCCATCAGCAAGCCAGCAAGAAGCAAGCCGGCGAAGAAAATTCATGCGAAGAAAATTCTAAAATTATAGCCATCCCTATCCCCGACCACCATCCCCTCCTGGAATGATTACTTTTATAGCCTATCCTGGCTCTGAACTTCACACCTGAAATGATTGGTCAACCGCCCTCAGCCAATCAGAGTTCAGCAAGTGTGTGATCCTAGCTTTTGCTAGTTCTCACTTCTAACTCTGATTCTATCTGATGACAGTTGATCAATCATATTCCTACCTACCTACCTACCTACCTACTGAACTGTACAATGAGTACAAATATTGTACTCATTGTACAGTCTATAGTACCCCTCAGCTAACACAGTCACTCTGCTGGAGTGTGGCCATGCATCAACTGATACATCCAGCAAACACACAAACACACACACACACACACACACACACACACACACACACACACACACACCAGAAAGCAAGAACAGCGGGAAAACAAAACATTATGACAACAACAAAGAAAAAAAAGAGCATGACCATGAAATTCATAATTGTGTAAACAAAAACTCCAAATGAAGAGCAGCTCCAATGAGAGAGAGTGGGAGGGGGGGGGGGGGGGGGCAGGGAGAGAGAACAAACATGATAAAACATGCACAGCAAGACTGAGAAGTCAGAGGGAGAAAGGGGCACCTACTGGGCGTCCTCCACCACAGGCACATTATACGTACGCCATTGCCGGGAATACTGAGCCAAAATATGTTCATTATTGCTATAATCTCGTGGCAATAATATCATGTCTCAGGTATTTGTGTGTGTGTGCGCAGTGTGGAGGGGGGGGGGGGGGGAATCAATAATAATATCATGTCAGGTACTGTGTGTGGGGGGGGGGGGGGGGGGGGATGGATCAATAGCATGTTGTCCGGTCCTGTGTGTGTGGGGGGGGGGGGGGGGATCAATATCATGTAGTCAGGTACTGTGTGTGTGTGGGGGGGGGGGGGGGGGGGACAAAAGGCACTAAGGCATTGCACAACAACAAGAAGCTGACGCAACAGCAGCAGCAGCAGCAGTACAACGTAAGCACAAGAAAAAGCAAACAGAAGTCAGAAGAGCTAGGGGAGATGCCAACCACATTGTACCAACAAATCGTCAAGATCGTGATTAGCGGACAGTCACCGCATGTTGATCGCTAGTCTTGAGAAATTACGTTCATTTTGCACCTTCTTCACACGGGTGTATTATTGAGCGTCATCCTCTGCCTGATCGTCGCTAGCACGATACTAACGTTGAACATGGCGAACTGTGTCCTTGCGACGGCGTGGTGATAGCCGGTGACGCTGCATAGCAGACCACCGCTGGGTACTGCACATAGGTCACTGCATACACAAGACACAATACAGTCAAACCTCTTTAGGACAAACATTAAGCGACCGATGATATTTGTTCGCAATAACGGGAGTTCTTCATATCCATAATTATGATGTTTTACCCAGTGGATACACAGGGTTTTATCCAATACAGTTACGAATACCGTAAAGTACCGCCAGAGCGCCCCACCATCTCATCCTTTCGTGGTCGTAGCGTGGAGGTGGTCTGCTGTCTGTAGGTCATACGACATGAACCTTGTACACATATTGCACGGTTTGCAGTCAATCCGTACCTTCGAGTGGACACAAGCTCCACACAAAAACCTGCCAAGTGTGACCTTAGTACACTAAGATTCTCACATCGCACACACTTCGTTGCACTCTGCCATACGATTTTCCTTTCTCTGGCTGTAAAATCAAGGTGGGGCGCTCTCGCGAGACGGGGCGCTCTGGCGGTACTTTACGGTACTAGTTCTTCTTAGGCAAACCTGTCCCTGCGGGAATTTGCGGAAAAAACTCTCGAAAACTTGCGCAAGAAATTGCGGCAGAAAGTAACAAAAAATGCGATGAAAAGTGCGGAATGATGCAGAACTTGCCAGGAATTCGTGGAATTATTTGCAGAAAATTGCGGATTTGGGCCAAATCACGAAATTTGTTGCATCGTATATCTACACCGGAGTCGTACTGTGCAAATAACCTACAGGATCACGGAAAGAACTGCGTGAAAAGTGCATAAAAATGTGAGATATAGTGCAGAAAACAACAAAAAAACGCGGGAAATAGCAGATTTTGCTGAAAATCGCGGGTTTGGGCCAAAATCGCGAAATTTGCTGCATCCGTGGAATCGCGATTTCCTGGAGGGTCAGGCAAACATTTGTCTTATCAGTGTTCTTCCTAACGAGGTTTCCCTGTACATAGTATTATTGTCGATGATGTACAGCCACTGACTACTAACACAACAGGCAGCTGCTCAGCCACTGACCAAACAACACACAAGTGACACAACACACACTATCATGCCAATACTGCGCAGGCATGCTACTGTTTACTGCATTCATGTGAACATGTGAACATGGATGCAGTGAATGGGATTTTCGGTCTTTGACCACTTGCTGGTGAGCTGATCTACGCCTCCCACCGCTTTAGGAGCTGCAGCTGCGCCTTGATCCTTGACGGGTGGTGGCGTTCCTACGGATTCGGAAAACTCGGTTTCCAGCCAAGTCTCATGCGAACCGTGAATTTTTTTAATGCTACTGTTGTACGTTACCGTGGCAACTACAGCACTACTGACTAACATACAGACTCATGTTAATGCAACAGAATCCAGCATTTTCTCAACAGTTCTCTTAGGGCGCAGTCTCACACTGCGACCAAAGCATGCTTCCATGCCGTCAAGCAGGACAGGGGACAAGGGCAATGGTTCGCTGAATAACAAGATTCGCTATAATGCAAGTTGGTTATAAGTTGAGTCGACCGTATATCCATGATGTCGCGCACTACAAACACAATCACCACAACATGTTTTGTGGATGCATGTTATCACTTGCTCAGTGTTACAGAGCTGGTTCAAAAGTCTTTTTAAAGACTTTCGAACAATATCTGTATGTTCCATTGGACTTCGACTGCAGCGCTACCTTGCCATGAGTCCATTGCGCTCAGCTCTCACAGTGTGGTGGCACGTGTTCTCATAAGCACGCGGTTCAATAACTTACGTATATCATGTACCGTGTACAGTGCACCGTGTACAGTGTACAGTGTACAGTGCACCGTGTACAGTGTACAGTGTATAGTGTACAGTGTACAGTGTACAGTGCACCGTGTACAGTGTACAGTGTACCGTGTACAGTGCACCGTGTACAGTGCACCGTGTACAGTGCACCGTGTACAGTGTACAGTGTACCGTGTACAGTGCACCGTGTACAGTGTACAGTGTACAGTGTACAGTGTACAGTGTACAGTGCACCGTGTACAGTGTACAGTGTACCGTGTACAGTGTACCGTGTACAGTGTACAGTGTACAGTGTACAGTGTACAGTGAGAATGTGACCGACTAACAGTTGGTGGGCACAGTTAACTGCTCATTCATTCTAAACCATACCACCTAACTAACTGCTTCACCACTAATTTCCTGTCAAATCACATCTTGAGGACTGGTATTAACTAACCCAGTTTCTGACTACAGCAGCAGGAAAGGGAGCACTAAGCACACAAGCCACATTACCACAATCCCGCGGTAGACGGTTTGATAATGGCCAAATCCCCTACAGTACTGCCGGGCGCCGAAGAACGGCCAGGCTAGAATTTTACCAGGCACAGCATACCAATGTATACCAGGTGGTGACTCCACTGTGCATAGACTGTAGTACATGAGCATAAGAACGGTCTAGGCTAGGAGGCTTACCCCCCCCCCCCCCCCCCCCAGTTCTTCGGCGACCGACAGTACTGTAAGTTGCATCTCCATGATTCCAGTATGGTGCCTGTGGTTCCAACCAGTATGCTTTAACTAATTACAGCAGAGCCAACCAGTCTAGCCCATAACATCCAATCCACAGTGCAGTACAAGCAATTCAAAAACAAAATCCTTCCACATACTCACATTGCATCTGTGTACAGTCATTTTGAGGTACGCTGCATAACATCCGGTGGGCAGAAATCTTGAAAGCCGACTGTTTCACACGGTCTCACACACACCTTGACGATTGACAGAGGCCACTCCGCTTTTCAACTGCGGCTGGGGAAAAAAGGGATTGCACAAAAAACAACCATCTTACTACAATGCAGGTGCAAAGGGTTCAGTAATGCTAAAATCTCCTACCATACATCCCCGAATATAAGTTACACATTTTTACATTCAAGGGAAAAGAAGGGGATGCGACTTACAATCGAGTGTGACTTCCTATTTACCGGTATGTGAATATATTAAAACAATTTGGCTCAGACCTGAATATGGGTTGCGACTTATGATCGGGGAAATACTGTGTCCCAGCGTACAGCTTTTTGCCCATCATTCCAAAATTGACACTCAAACTGACTAGTTTACAGCAGAGCCAAATGTTCTCCGGGCACAAAACATCAGGTATAGAGTGCACGGTACAAATCAACCAAAGTCAGACCGACTCTATTTATACTTATTCTCTACACCTGCATCGGGAGACTAGATAGCCAGCCACCACGCACCATGTCAGCTGTAATCTGCCTGATTTAGAAAAAAATTATCCCGTTCTCGGATACCATGACGGTCACTATTTACAGCTGAGCTGACTTTGATCAAGAATTTGTGGTAAAAACTACTTTCGGTAGAAGTAATCAGACCAAGGAATAAGACAACTTTTCAGAATCTTTTCAATCAACATTTCAAAGCTTCGACTAGCACTTTCATTGCCTTTTCTTCAGGTAGATACAGGCAGAAGAAGCTAGCCAGTACAGTACAATAACTACTTGACTTCAAGTATTAAACAATGTATAGGTGAGGTAGCCAACAGTAGGTAGATTGCGAGAACAAACGCAAAAAGGTGTAACATGATGATTCTCACGCATTCGGAGGCATAAGAAATCCTACAGCTATGCACTAGTGATGTATGTGAGAAGAGGTGTGATCGGCGTGATGTGCGATAGAAATAGACTTTTTTTGTCTCCAAGAAGCACTCCAAGAAGTGTTCACTTCTTCACTGCTCACATCAGACTATCCTTTTCACGGCCAGCTCAAGCAAGTAATAGTTTCCAGGTGATGAGAAACACGTAGAAAGCGACAGATCTATGAGATTTCTGTAACCTGCATGGCTTAGGGCTGTTTCAATGAAATATCGTATATACAACATGACTCGGAACAGTTGTGCTCGGTGAAATCCGACCCAGGATACAAAAAAACTGACACCCTGGACCAGCTCTGAACACATGACTCAGTGTCTGCACATGTGTACATCCAGCCACATTCGTACCTCTTCTAGGGCGTCAAGGGCCGTACAAGTTGAGGATGCCAAATCGGCACCTTTGGTCGGATTTCACCGAGCGCAACTGTAGTTTTTTGTTTATTTATTTATGGATTCCCCAAAGGCCGAGGTCTAAGTCGAGGGGGTCTCCGTTCATGGCTTACTGGGAATATATCTGCAAAAATATAATAATTATATAGATTGAGAAGAGAAAGGGGTACAACAAATGCGTACTGTAGAAATCAGTATTGTATTATCGCAGGTCATGTGATGGTTGCCTGTACTCCAGCCAATTAACGTCCACTGTGAGCGAGCAGGCATTTTCGTGTACTGCCCGGGGCGGTAGCTTTCAGTGTTTTTGTTTTGCGCGCTGATCAGATCATTCTGCACATGCCTACTTGTGTTTGTCAGTTGAAACCTTCACTTCTTGCAACGGTCAACACACAACTATACCGCCTACCTGCACCAATGGACTAGTCTGTTCACTCCGAAGTGTGCGGACAGGCATTGATGATGTAGGTCTCTTTGCTACAGGACAGCCTTCAGTCCGCTTCAGTTTAAAATTATACACAATTGTTTTCCGTTGTGTCCTAGGTCAGACCAGTGGCCTTCTTCGGGACCTCTTTGTACTTCGTTCTTCAGCAGCTAACACTTTGCAATGTCGGATCCGCCTTCACTCCTCCAATGGTCTTGTTCTACCCCGAGTTTATTCACGCTACGGTCTGTTTTCTCTTGCTCATTTGGCTGCAGACAGATGGAATAGCGCTCCATCTGATATCCGCACTGCTGCATCGCCATCCCTTTTTCGCCATGCATTACCTTCATTCTTAGGGTACCCCGTAAGAAGACCTTGAGTCTGTGGGGACTGCCCTATTAAAATATGAATAAATAATAATAATAATATTTTCCCGTTTGTCTCTTTCCCTCAAAACCAGTCAATATTTTATGACTTGGGGCTCCCCGCGTGCTAGTTTGTACGTGAAGTGTGTGGGTTACAGTGAGGGCTGCGTCCCACCCGCCTGTGTGGATTCACAGGAAGTGTGAGTTACAAAGTCTGAAGAAAACGTTGAACGGTCTCTGCTTGGATGACGACTACACCATAGCTCAGCGGTTAGAGCATCGCTGGCTACAAGCGAGGGTCCCTGGTTCGAGTCCTGGTGGTGACAGTCAATTTTTTCTTCAGACTTTTCCCGTTTGTCTCTTTCCCTCAAAACCAGTCAATAATAATAATAATAATAATAATAATAATAACACAGCACGCGTTCGGACGGGTATACTCGTCCTTGGGCTTCAAAGGGTTAATGCTTGCCTGCCAACACAAGCTGCAAAGTTCTGGCAAAGAAAGAGAGAGAGAGAGAGAGAGAGAGAGAGAGAGAGAGATCATATTTCTATCACGACTTACTTTCACAGATTCGGCCTGACCAAGTCGTAACGGGTCACCTAGGGAGATTTGCAAACGAGCTATATGCAAAGACGAATATAAACCCATGACTTCCAACTTGCCATCACTGAAGCTATGAGAAAGAGGGATACATACACACAGGGATAGACACACAACTTTTAAGTTTCGTAAAATTTGTTGAAAGAAAGAGAAATAAAGAGAAATAAAGAGAGAGAGAGAGAGAGAGAGAGAGAGATTGAGAGAGAGAGAGAGAGAGAGAGGGAGGGAGGGAGGGAGGGAGGGAGGGAGGGAGGGAGAAAGAGAGAGTAAAGCAGACACAGTCCTATGCATATATACATGTACACAGGAATTGCACACATTCCATACATCCTATAGTATCCAGATACATACAAAATTAATGGTGTACTACAAGGCCAGATATTGTAACGTCAATTAAAGTTAACGATCTCCGGATTTTTGTGGGTTAGCGAGGTGAAATTCTCATGAATTCGGTGTCAAAACCGAAAAGAGACTGTGTCATGTACTGTAGCGGACATGGAAATCCAGTCGATTGACCGGGGCCAGCGCCCTCAGCGCATACAGAACACTGCGTGTAGTGCACAAAGTCATGTTGATCCGATGCGACCAGCGCACAATGCTTGCTCCGCTTATCGACGGCTGCATGGCCAGCGCCCTGGGGCCGCTAGACGTGCGACCGGATTTCCATGTCCACGACAGTACAGCCATGTATCGTTTTGCACTTTTAACGACTTCAAATATTAACGATACAAGACACTGCGGTAGGTGGTCATTTACAACGTATCAGTTCATTCCATCAAAGCACTGGATCGACACAAAGTCATTGGAAATTATCTCCATCTTCTATGAAGTTGTAGTGAAGAAGTTGTCAGACACTGCAGCTGTCCTGAAACAATTTCAACGGAAAAGAACAGCACTGGCTTCTTTGCATCATGAAAGCCCGTCGGAGAGCAGCACATCGTTCTGAAGAACGAAAGTGGAGCATAGGCATGGACAATTTTACGACTTCCAGTTGTTGTTCAGTCCCAAACATCTCTGCGCATGAGCTGGCGCGGCATGACATTAGACAAGCCACTGAGATCCGCGAAGGGAGCCAACCACCTGGAAGAAGCCGTCCTCAATCAAATCTTTGCACTTTGTCTTGCACAGGCTTGGATCAAATTTCGAGAGAATGTCGGTTTCTTCAACGCTATTGTCGATCCTGGAGCGGACCAGGGATCGATTTTTGAGTTACTCTTACTAAGAGTCTTAGCTAGAGAAGGAGAACAAAATTAATGAACTTCGAATTACGAGTAGAACAACTCCATCTCCACGCTCACTTCGAAAATTTCTAATAAGCGCTTGAAGGACATAGTCACTGTACTGTAAACTGCTCTTCTGTATGAAGACAGAGTTCGTTCTTCGCAGCATCCAGCGGGCGCACGTTTCGTACTTACCGGTATGCATTCGAATTTGACTTGAAAAACGATAATTTTGTACATGTGTAGTCATTTGTCGGTTTTGAGACAGAATTCGTTAGAATTTCAACTCGCTAACCCCCAGTAATCCGGAGATCGTTAACTTTAATTGATGTTAAAATCAGGGAGTCGTAAAATACCGGTATTTTACGACTCCCTGGTTAAAATATCTGGTCTTACAGTATTCGAAATAGAGGGAGTCTACCTGGAGTAGTGTAATAGCTGGCCCCGGAGGCAATCACACTCACTCAAGTCAAACACTCACTTCGTAGGTTACCAGTAATTATCAGGAAAGAAATATTATACACACTTTGAATGTAAAGAGAGTAGAAAAGGGCAACAAGAAAGAAGAAAGCAAGGGAACAAAAAGTCCGGCAACTGGCAGCCATGTTTTAGGTCATCAACCAATAAGCAATCCACGAAAACCGGTTGCCGACGAAATTCTAGAAACTTCTGGAACATTAGTATAATTACCCAATCACAGTTCACAGCTCTGGAACATTCTGGAACATTAATACTAGCAGCCAATCACAGTTCACACTCGGCGGCTCGGGAACATTCTGGATACTAGCAGCCAATCACAGTTCACACTCGGCGGCTCGGGAACATTCTGGAACATTAATACTAGTGTCGTATCCGGTCGGCCCGGGGTTAGACCCCACGGCTGCGATCAGACATGGACTAACTTACAAAACTCTCACATTACAAGGCCGTGCAGTGGTGGCCACTTGGAGAGAGTCCACTAACATAATTTCCCTTACGCACGCACACACATATACCTAGACATACTCTCACACTCACACTCAGGCATATACAGACACGTACACTCACACCAGCGTTCAGGTTTACTCACATCTTCCAAGAAGGTAACTTAGTTCAAGTGACGATATGATCAGAGAGAGCACAAGGCAAGACGGAGACGAAAGCCGAAGCTTCCGCCTGAAGACGGAAGGCCAGAGAAGTAGAGAGAGCCAGAAAGGCGATTGCCATAATATCTAACTACGGGCAGGAGGCTGATCCCCCCCCCCCCCCCCCCGTACGAACTATAGGACAAATAGTGAACCTTGGTACACCCGCATGCCGCAGTGTACCAAACCTTAGCAATACTGTGTATAAACTGTATCACAAAGAGCGGGAGCCAGCTAAAGAAATAACAGGGTGTACCACATAAGGAAGGCGCCAGGCTTTGTGTGAAGACATAAAATAAAGGCAGTTATGAATCCGTTTATGGAAGATAGATAAATAAATAGACACATAAATGAGGCAATCTTGTCACGTGGAGACATAAAAGGCCACGTGTCAATAACATGGATACGACATATCCCCCTGCTTACACGGAAAAGAACGCATCCTCGTGTTATAAGTAACTTAGTAAATTAGAATAAGATTATAGCTAGCCATTTTACCTAAACGAGTGCAAGTCAAATCGGATTCACCACCAGAATTGTTCAAAACTAACTGCAATATTGAACACAACCAATCCAGTGAGTAGCACTGAAGTCACTTACTCGTGCCACACCGGACTCCCAAACAGCTGGGGTGGATGGCGGAAACGCGGGGATCGCCTTTCCATCACGCCAACTGGCAACTACCCGAGTGGTGTCCTCCTCGTCTCGGGCGGCGATATCAGTGGCATCTGGCTGGTAGGTAGGAGTCAGGGTGGACGCCATGGGCTGCGGTGGTTCCGACTCATCCTGCTCGTGGACCTCCTGTAGCCGACTCGGTGGATGATGGCAAACTTTCAGTCGGTTGACGTGCACTATCAGGCGATATGCCGTGGGCTCTGACAGCTTGATGCGGTAGGTGGCAGCTGAGAGCTTCTCTTCGACTATGTATGGTACGTGCCAGTGTCTAGCAAACTTGGCGGTTGTACCCGTCGGAATAGCTGGCACCAGAAGCCAAATCACGTCAACTGCTGCAAAAAGTCAGGGAGGTATGAGAGGGCATCTGCGTTGTTGTGTAGCTGGACATAGTCAAGGGCACACAGAAAAACACCCACATTTCTCTAAAGAACTCGCCCACATCTGCTGAAAGCTGAATAATAACCTATCTCCAAGTTCGGGGCTTTCTACCCGTGAATCTTCACTTTGCGACTAAACTATTCACAGCAGTGCCAAATTTTCTGGGTCACTAAATGTGGGTGCCTGCGCCCTACAAGCAAACCAAAAATCAAACCAATGCGACTAATGACATTACAGCTGGATCATGGCGTAGAGAGGTACGTTGAAATTGAAAGGTGAGCACAAATGGTCAAAATCCGACATTTTCTTACCTTTATGCCCGTTCGCAGCTCAGAAAATGACAATGACCATCCTCATCTCGTTGTGTAGCTGGACATAGACAAGGGCACCCAGAAAAACACCCACATTTCTCTAAAGAACTTGCCCACGGCTGCTGAAAGCTGAATAATAACCTATCTCCAAGTTTGGGGCTTTTTACCCGTGAATCTTCACTTTGCGACTAAACTATTCCCAGCAGTGCCAAATTTTCTGGGTCACTGAATGTGGGTGCCTGCGCCCTACAAGCAAACCAAAAATCAAACCAATGCGACTACTGACATTACAGCTAGGTCATTTTTTAGAAAGGTACGTTGAAATTGAAAGGTGAGCACAAATGGTCAAAATCCGACATTTTCTCACCTTTCTGCCTGTTCGCAGCTCAGAAAATAACAACGACCATCCTCATCACGTTGTGTAGCTGAACATAGACAAGGGCACCCAGAAAAAGACCCACATGTCTCTAAGAACTCGCCCACAGCTGCTGAAAGCTGAATAATACCCTATCTCCAAGTTCGGGGCTTTTTACCCGTGAATCTTCACTTTGCGACTAAACTATTCATAGCAGTGCCAACTTTTCCGGGTCACTGAATGTGGGTGCCTGCGCCCTACAAGCCAAACAAAAATCAACCCAATGCGACTACTGACATTACAGCTGGATCATGTTGTAGAGAGGTACGTTGAAATTGAAAGGTGAGCACAAATGGTCAAAATCCGACATTTTCTAACCTTTATGCCCGTTCGCAGCTCAGAAAATGACAATGACCATTCTCATCTCGTTGTGTAGCTGGATATAGACAAGGGCACCCAGAAAAACACCCACATTTCTCTAAAGAACTCGCCCACGGCTGCTGAAAGCTGAACAATAACCTATTTCCAAGTTTGGGGCTTTTTACCCGTGAGTCTTCACTTTGCGACTAAACTATTCCCAGCAGTGCCAAATTTTCTGGGTCACTGAATGTGGGTGCCTGCGCCCTACAAGCAAACCTAAAATCAAACCAATGCGACTAATGACATTACAGCTGGATCATGTTGTAGAGAATTACGTTGAAATTGAAAGGTGAGCACAAATGGTCAAAATCCGACATTTTCTCACCTTTCTGCCCGTTCGCAGCTCAGAAAATGACAATGACCATCCTCATCTCGTTGTGTAGCTGGACATAGACAAGGGCACCCAGAAAAACACCCACATTTCTTTAAAGAACTCGCCCACATCTGCTGAAAGCTGAATAATAACCTATCTCCAAGTTCAGGGCTTTTTACCCGTGAATCTTCACTTTGCGACTAAACTATTCACAGCAGTGCCAAATTTTCTGGGTCATTAAATGTGGGTGCCTGCGCCCTACAAGCAAACCAAAAATCAAACCAATGCGACTACTGACATTACAGCTGGGTCATTTTATAGAAAGGTACGTTGAAATTGAAAGGTGAGCACAAATGGTCAAAATCCGACATTTTCTCACCTTTCTGCCCGTTCGCAGCTCACAAAATGACAATGACCATCCTCATCTCGTTGTGTAGCTGGACATAGACAAGGGCACCCAGAAAAACACCCACATTTCTCTAAAGAACTCGCCCACGGCTGCTGAAAGCTGATTAATAACCTATCTCCAAGTTTGGGGCTTTTTACCCGCGAATCTTCACTTTGCGACTAAACTATTCACAGCAGTGCCAAATTTTCTCTGTCACTGAATGTGGGTGCCTGCGCCCTACAAGCAAACCAAAAATCAAACCAATGCGACTACTGACATTACAGCTTGGTCATTTTATAGAAAGGTACGTTGAAATTGAAAGGTGAGCACAAATGGTCAAAATCCGACATTTTCTCACCTTTCTGCCCGTTCGCAGCTCAGAAAATGACAATGACCATCCTCATCTCGTTGTGTAGCTGGACATAGACAAGGGCACCCAGAAAGCGACCCACATTTCTCTAAAGAACTCGCCCACGGCTGCTGAAAGCTGAATAATAACCTATCTCCAAGTTTGGGGCTTTTTACCCGTGAATCTTCCCATTGCGACTAAACTATTCACAGCAGTGCCAAATTTTCTCGGTTACTGAATGTGGGTGCCTGAGCCCTACAAGCAAACCAAAAATCAAACCAATACGATTACTGACATTACAGCTGGGTCATGTTATAGAGAGGTACGTTGAAATTGAAAGGTGAGCACAAATGGTCAAAATCCGACATTTTCTCACCTTTCTACCCGTTCGCAGCTCAGAAAATGACAATGACCATCCTCATCTCGTTGTGTAGCTGGACATAGACAAGGGCACCCAGAAAGCGACCCACATTTCTCTAAAGAACTCGCCCACGGCTGCTGAAAGCTGAATAATAACCTATCTCCAAGTTTGGGGCTTTTTACCCGTGAATCTTCCTATTGCGACTAAACTATTCACAGCAGTGCCAAATTTTCGCGGTTACTGAATGTGGGTGTCTGCGCCCTACGAGCAAACCAAAAATCAAACCAATACGATTACTGACATTACAGCTGGGTCATGTTATAGAGAGGTACGTTGAAATTGAAAGGTGAGCACAAATGGTCAAAATCCGACATTTTCTCACCTTTCTGCCCGTTCGCAGCTCAGAAAATGACAATGACCATCCTCATCTCGTTGTGTAGCTGGACATAGACAAGGGCACCCAGAAAAACACCCACATTTCTTTAAAGAATTCGCCCACGGCTGCTGAAAAAGTTGAATAATAACCTGTTTCAAGTTTGGGGCTTTTTACCCGTGAATCTTCACTTTCCGACTAAACTATTCACAGCAGTGCCAAATTTTCTGGGTCACTGAATGTGGGTGCCTGCGCCCTAGAAGCAAACCAAAAATCAAACCAATGCGACTACTGCCATTACAGCGGGGTCATTTTATAGAAAGGTACGTTGAAATTGAAAGGTGAGCACAAATGGTCAAAATCCGACATTTTCTCACCTTTCTGCCCGTTCGCAGCTCACAAAATGACAATGACCATCCTCATCTCGTTGTGTAGCTGGACATAGACAAGGGCACCCAGAAAAAGACCTACATTTCTTTAAAGAGTTCGCCGACGGCTGCTGAAAGCTGAATAATAACCTGCTTCCAAGTTTGGGGCTTTTTACCCGTGAATCTTCACTTTGCGACTAAACTATTCACAGCAGTGCCAAATTTTCTGGGTCACTGAATGTGGGTGCCTGCGCCCTACAAGCAAACCAAAAATCAAACCAATGCGACTACTGACATTACAGCTGGATCATGTTGTAGAGAGGTACGTTGAAATTGAAAGGTGAGCACAAATGGTCAAAATCCGACATTTTTTAACCTTTATGCCCGTTCGCAGCTCAGAAAATGACAATGACCATCCTCATCTCGTTGTGTAGCTGGACATAGACAAGGGCACCCAGAAAAAGACCCACATTTCTTTAAAGAATTCACCCACGGCTGCTGAAAGCTGAATAATAACCTGTTTCCAAGTTTGGGGCTTTTTACCCGTGAATCTTCACTTTGCGACTAAACTAGTCACAGCAGTGCCAAATTTTCTGGGTCACTGAATGTGGGTGCCAGCGCCCTACAAGCGAACAAAAAATCAAACCAATGCGACTACTGACATTACAGCTGGATCATGTTGTAGAGAGGTACGTTGAAATTGAAAGGTGACCACAAATGGTCAAAATCCGACATTTTCTAACCTTTATGCCCGTTCGCAGCTCAGAAAATGACAATGACCATCCTCATCTCATTGTGTAGCTGGACATAGACAAGGGCACCCAGAAAAAGACCCACATTTCTCTAAAGAACTCGCCCACGGCTGCTGAAAGCTGAATAATAACCTATCTCCAAGTTTGGGGCTTTTTACCCGTGAATCTTCACTTTGCGACTAAACTATTCACAGCAGTGCCAAATTTTCTCGGTTACTGAATGTGGGTGCCTGCGCCCTACAAGCAAACAGAACATCAAACCAATACGATTACTGACATTACAGCTGGGTCATGTTATAGAGAGGTACGTTGAAATTGAAAGGTGAGCACAAATGGTGAAAATCCGATATTTTCTCACCTATCCGCCAGTTCTCAGCTCAGAAAATGACAATGACCATCCTCATCTCGTTGTGTAGCTGGACATAGACAAGGGCACCCAGAAAAACACCCACATTTCTTTAAAGAATTCGCTAACGGCTGCTAAAAGCTGAATAATAACCTGTTTCCAAGTTTGGGGCTTTTTACCCGTGAATCTTCACTTTGCGACTAAACTATTCACAGCAGTGCCAAATTTTCTGGGTCACTGAATGTGGGTGCCTGCGCCCTACAAGCAAACCAAAAATCAAACCAATGCGACTACTGACATTACAGCTGGGTCATTTTATAGAAAGGTACGTTGAAATTGAAAGGTGAGCACAAATGGTCAAAATCCGACATTTTCTCACCTTTCTGCCCGTTCGCAGCTCACAAAATGACAATGACCATCCTCATCTCGTTGTGTAGCTGGACATAGACAAGAAAACCCAGAAAAACACCCACATTTCTCTTAAGAACTCGCCCACGGCTGCTGAAAGCTGATTAATAACCTATCTTCAAGTTTGGGGCTTTTTACCCGTGAATCTTCACTTTGCGACTGAACTATTCATAGCAGTGCCAACTTTTCTGGGTCACTGAATGTGGGTGCCTGCGCCCTACAAGCAAACCAAAAATCAAACCAATGCGACTACT